GGTGTGCCTGCTACCAGGGGCGCTCTCCCATGCGTGTGGTGCTTATCTGTGTGGCGATAATCTCTCTGGGCTGCTAATCTGTGTGCCGCTTATCCGTATGTTTACTATGTATGCATATTTACACATACACAGGGAGGAAAAAACAGTGTTCTCTCGAAGCACAAATATGTTCACCCTTGTTCAATGAACTCTTCTCACATGGGCAAATATGATGGCATTTTTTTTTTTTTTCGTTCTGGGCACAATAGGGGGGGTAAGGCTTCTTCTTTGGTGTGTTTTTTTCTGTGTTTACACTGCGTTTCTGCTGCGTTCTTCTGCTTGTTTCCCGCTCTTTCACTTTGTTCCTGCTACGTTCTTGACGCGTTTTTGCTATTTTTTTTTCTTGTTTTATTTTCTTTATTTTTTCCCGTAATATGCGGTTTTCATGACACGTTAGTCGCTGCGATTGTATTCTTTTCACGGCGTGCTTCCCGAACGCTTATGCTCATGGGCACAAATTATTTTCTAGTGCTACGATTTTGTTCCTGTCACAATCCTTTGACCTTTTTTTTTTTAATTTAATATCGTTTTGCTTCGTTTGATTACATATATTTTTATTGCACTTTTCACATGGACAGAAAAAAAAAAAAAAAAAAAAAAACTAAAATGTGTTTAAACTTACATAAGCAACTCATAATAATGGCGGGCATATGTAAATTTTGCGCCATGGTATATTTTACATTCTGGGAATAACAACAAATAGTGAAGCGGCAACGAAAACCGCTCTCACGAGGAGAACAGGAGTGTGTACGGCCAGGTGATTTGCAGCGATTGGCAGAACACACATGTCCATCCCTGCCCCCTTCGCAATTGTGAAATGGCTTTTTGACAAAAAAGAGGGAAAATGGGAAAGAGGGGGAAAAAAGAATTAATTTTCTTATCCCATTTTGTATACCATGCCACATTCGGCATATTATGACTCCCCTTGTTCTCCCCAAATGTTCAGCTCAAAGATGGGTTTCAAAACTTTTAGCTTTTTAGATGGTTACCATTTTTGTATGTCTGCTTGGGGTCCCTATCTTTTTTTGTGCCCAGCTTGTTTGTCCCACCACCACAAAATCCTTTGTTAAATTTATTAAAGATTCATAAATGCGGTTGAAATGACGCCTAATACGAGCGACTTTTGAAATGATACTCCTCCCCCCTTGTCCATCAAATGGACCAGTAAAAACACATTTCACAAAGGACCCCCTGCCCTCTGCCCACATCACTCAGTTGTTATAACCGTTGCCACCACATTTCCTACTGCATGGTTATGTCAAATGAGGTGCCAAAAAAAACAATAAAATAAAATAAAACGAAGTTCGAATGAAAGAATACGCATTTAAGAAAAAGTTCCCACATATGTGCATATGTATCACTGTGGACACGTTTATTAGGCACATAACCACAAGGGGAAAAACATCTTACTTTGTGTAATGCGCCACTTTTTTGATGTCATTCAAAACGGGAAGGAAATAATAAGCTGCAATTTTTTTTTTTTTTTTTTGTTCTTTTTCATAATTAATATGAACAGGTCAGTTAAAAATGGTGATTTTTAGGAGTTTTTTTTTTTTTTTTTTTTTCGACGCCAATGCGCTTGTCCTCGTGGTAGATTGTTATTTACGGTGAGGGAAAAGACAACTGAAGGTTATCTAAAGTTATGCAACGCTGAAGCATATCTGCCAAATAGTTAAGAATGTTTTAAAATTGTTTCTTGGGCGTATGCATAATATTTACGTTATATCGTTGGAGCAGCCACAAAACCGCTTTTGTAAAACTGTCACTGCGCAGTGATGCATGGGGGCATTTGTGGGAAGTAATGGAGATGGAAGTGCTGATAGCTCGTTATGTACACGTTTGAGCAGTGAAAATTGGTGGGCGGACAAAACATGCAGCATTCTGTTTTCTCCAATGGAAGCTGTTGGTTCGTTAGCGTGTTTGTTTGCTTTTTTGCCCACATGTCTGCCTGCTTTACTTTCCCCTTGTTACAATGGAGAACATTTGAGCATGTCAATAATGGGGAACCGCTTGTAGATGGAGAGTTGCAAAACTGTCGCATGATTGTGTGCGCCTTTGCACACGCAGACGAGCATGTGCAGGTAAAAAAATAACATTACGCAAAAAAAAAAAAAAAAAAAAAATGCACCTTTTCTGCTGTCTCCCCGTATCATCCCTTTGATAACCCCTTCTTGTCTTACTGTCTTTCATGAGAAATGAAATTTTTAACGCTCAACGAAAAAGCGCGATGTGAGAAAACCTTAGCCACAGTACTTATGCCTCAATGAGACCGGGGTCCTCCATGTTAACACGATCATATAAACATACAATACTTGCAAATATCCGTAAAGAGATACATTTTACACGGTAAATATAATATTGGAAAATTATTTATATTTTTCCAAATGGGTACTCCCCATCGCTGTTATAAAGGAACAAATGAAGTATCAAGTCGAGACGTCTTTAAAGTGTAATACATGAATGTACATGTGAGTACCCGCGTGATATTATGCCAACACCTGGTGAACACTAATTGCAATAATTTGGTTGAAAGCTTACTTCCTTTTTTTCGGGATTGTCATCACTGTTAGTGTCTTTCTTCCACAGGTCTGTTTACGCGCATGAGACACAAATGTTTAAATTTGTATCCAATTGTATATTTACACATAAGCTTACACAGTGGCAACTCATGTGATGCGAAAAGGAACAGAACTTGCGTGAACAGAAATGTATATATATATTATTTTTTAAAGAACACTTTTCATCATATTTACGAGTACATAAAAGCAGAATATATTTGCTTATTCCGAGCAATACTTATTTGAAGCGTCAATTCGTTCCTTTGCCTTTTTTTTTTTTTT